GAGGAGAGCAGGTAGCCATGAGAGAAGGGACAGGCAAGCTGAGGATGAGAGGGGACCAGGGTGAAAGGGAGAATTAGAGAAAGCAAGGAACAAATTAGGCAGGAAAATGGAACATGACAAAGAGAGGGAGAAAGCTGTTAACAGAGAGGAAAGATGGGGTGAGGAAGGAGGACGTGAGAAGGGGAGACAAAGTCAGAGGTGCAGACAAGATGGGGTGCTGAGGCTGAGTCTTTGCAGTTGGAGTTCTCTGGCCCCACACTCTGGGTAGCACATGGGTCCCCTTGAATCACAGCTCATTTGGGTCTTCCTGTTTTCGTCTCCTCTTTGTGAACCCTTGGAGGCTTTTCCAGCCAGCAAGTCAGGCAGAGTACCAGGTTTCCCTGTCCAGGGCCCAGTTCTGCATCCCACAGCTGTGCTTCTCATGGCTCTCAACACTCTGCATCCCTGGCCTAAGGACCATCCCAGAGTCCTCTCCATTATGTCCCCAGGAACATCTGACAGAAGCTATAACCCTCTAACGGGGTAGATCCAGCCTAGACTGCTGAAAAACTTCACTCTATGAAAAGACACACTTGTCCAGGAGCTGGGGAGATGGTTCTGTGGTTCAGCCCTCACCAAGCAGGTATGAAGACTAGAGTTCAGATCCCCAGAACACCCACCCATAAGTAGTGGGTTAGCATGGCAGCCTGCCCATAATTCCACCAAGGAACTCTCCCTTAAAGACAGATACAGGAGAGCCACGAGAAAGCTGGCTAGGAAGACTAGCTGTGTGGGTGAGCTCTGGCTTTGGTTGAGAGACCCTGCTTCAGTGAATAATGTGAAAGAATGAGTGAGGACGGTTCGTGACCCCAACCGGGGGCACACACACCTGCCACTCACGTGGAACTTGGAAAGAATGCACACCCCCAAAGCACACTTTCTTTGCCATTCTCTGACTCACTTATGTCTTCCATGACACTTTCTCAACTACAAGTTCTAGTCTCCATCCAGCCTCTTGCATTCATTCCAGAAAACACCTTTTAACCCCTGTGCCAGGCATGGATGTTATGACTTAGAACAAAATCCATTGTCCATCCCCAAGAAGCTCAGCATCTAAAGGGAGACCGACAGAGTGGACTCAGGGGAAAGCCAGGATTTTGAGGAGCCCCAGCATTGTACAATCTGGGGAACCCTCTGTAAAAAAAAGAAAAGAAAAGCATACTGTTGCTAGGGACATTTGGTTCTTTTGAAAGAGCCCATGGAAGAGCTATGCCAGCTCTGGAGGGGGCAGGATGAGTGGCACTCCCCTCCCCCAACTATTCAGACAGGAAGGTGGGCTGATGCACTGGCTCACTGATTAAACCATTATTATCTATACTTTCTCTTTTGGTTCCCTTTTGTCCACACTGTGAAAAAAAAAAAAAAGAAAAAATCCCAGATGCCTTCTAAGGCTTAGATTGTAATTGAGATAAAGTCTGATTGTCAAAACAAACTAGAAGTTTCTGTTTCCTCTAATGGAACTGGGTGAAAAGCAGCACAGGCTGGCGTGGAGCCTCCCTGGTTTCCGGGGGCCAGTTTCCTTCCATCATGTGACACATCCACTTGTCATCCATGAAGCCATTGGTGGGCCACATTCCAGCCACAGGAAAAGGACAAGAACAAGGGGAAAGCCCCGCCCCTTCCTACACTCCACACCCCTTCTTTGATCACACCCAAGCACCAAGATGTTGTTCCATGGCCCCACTGAGGTGTTAGGGGAAAGGGCAACTGTGGTATTTATTCTGGTGGCCATGTGTCCCTAGGTCAGAAGGGAATGCAGATGGAGAAAGGGTGTGTGGCCATTAGACATCTCTAAGGCAGCCTTTCATGTGTACTGTGTGGTATAGGAACCACAGGGCAGAAGCCACTAGTGACTGAAGCATGGCTGTGCTGTGAGGTCCCTGTAAGCACTCTCCTGGAGTCTTTCATTCTGATGACTTTGGATCCCTGCACCTGAACCCATGTGTTGACTAAGGATGAAACCCTAGCTGCCATCCAAAGAGCACTGGAGACACCAAGACAAGGCAGTGCAAACTGAAAGGGAGGTACCAAAAAGGAAAGAACAGTGGTGTGTAAACCAAATTTCAAAAGTTTTCCAATTTCATATGTTACCCAGAGCCACAACAGGATGCAACCCAAGGAACTCTACAGGATTAGCCATTGAGGAGGGTGGGGTGGTTTATGTGGATTGTCAACTTGGCAGGATCTAGAATCACCTTGAAGATAAACCTCTGAACATGTCTGTGAGGGATTATCTAGATTAGGTTAACTGAGGTGCAAAGACCTATCCCAACTGCCAGGCTGAATAAAAAGGAGAAACCAAGGTGAATAAGGGCATTGAGAACTCTGCTTCCTGACTGTGAACAGAATGTGATTTGGCCGACTCCGGCTCCTGCCACAATGGCTTCCCTCCACAATGGACTCTTCTCTCAGACTATGAGTCTAAATAAACCCTCCCTTCCTTCTTCAAGTTACTTTTGTTGGGGAGCTTTACATAGCAATGCGCGGAAGTAGCTAATACAGAGGCCAAGTCAACTTCAGTGTGCAGGAAGAGACTGAGACCTGAAGACAGTGGCTTGAGAGAAGACCATAAAGATACAGTCAGCCAGCAGAAGCAGAGGGTGGTGCCAAATAGCACATGGCAGATCCTTGTTTGACTCACCCCATGATGAAAATGTACAAAAAATGAGACTGAAACTAAATGACAAAAGTATAGTTCCGCTTCTTTAACAGAGACCAAAAGCAACAGCAATTTAACCAAGCTGAAGTTCATCGCTCTCTCCTGCAAAAATCTAAAGGTACAAAATACTGAGGAGGGGGTTACAACACTGGGGACCCGGGTTCCCTCCATGTTACCCCTCAGCCATCCTCAGTGTATGGCTTCTATCACATGCCCAAGACAACTGCTGCTGCTCAAGTTACCACGTCCACATCACAGCCATAAGGAAGAAGGAAAGGGGAAAGGAAGGTCTCTTCACCTTCAGGAACCACCAAGATGACTCACACCACATCTGCTTGATTTTCATTGGCTAGAACTTAGAGTTCATCACATCCACTTGGAAAGGACACTAGACAAAAAGCATCTGTATCTTGGAGATCGGGTGCTCAGCTTCAACTAAAGGGTCCTGTTGCTAGAAGGAGTGGGGACACCAGCAGTCAGAGCCTCAGGAGACCTAAGACAAAGGAATAAGACACACTTCGGCCTCTGCTACAGCTGGGGGGAGAGAGGAGTCCAGTAAGCTGGAAAATGTGTGGAATATAGGGACATCTTCCTGGTCGATCTTGTTTTCTCTGCAACATGGGTCTGAGCTTCATTACTGGGAGGTTGTGCTCTTCAAGGGTGAAGAGGAAAGAAGACTTGCCAAGGCTTGCTTACTTACAACCCTCATGTGAGAAGAAAGTCTGCACCCACAGAGACCTGAGCTGGTTAGCAACTGAGCTGGGCCTTTGGGTCAGGGCTTTAGTGTAGGCACTGCGCTCAGATGCGCGGACTTCGGATAAAGACAACTCGGTTTCCACATCTGTAGAGACCATATGTGTAGCTTGGATGCCTTGTCCCTGAGGGTGCATTTAATACACTTGGTACAAATGTGAATGGCCTACACCATAGAAGGGATGGTGTTTTCAGAGCTGAGATGCAAAGGGCAGGGGACATGGGAAAGAAGAAGGTACCCCTGAGGTTCAGCCCTGTTCTTGTCATGGACCCACCCAGGCTGCCGATGCACTCAGCACTTTTGGGGTTCTACCTGCCTCTGGTCCAGCATTAGAGTGTGCCACTGTCAATGTGAGAGAAGCAGGGGAGAGGGCCACTCCAGACAAGCAGCACCCTGTGGCTAGCTGGAAGGGGCACTCCACACTGTTGTCCACGCACACTGAGATTCAGCTTCTGCAGTGTCTTGAGGTTACTGCCACAGAGCCTTGATCTTGTACCCTGCCCTTGGTCTTTCTTGGCAACTCTCTTGAGACTTCTTCCTTACCTCAAGACACTACCCTGTGGTCCTGGCCTCAACCTAGTAAACAGGGCAAGTTTCTCCCCCAAGCTTCTAGACTACAAAGCCAGCCTGCCGATTGCATACATACATCTAAACACGCACTCATACACACTACTATATGCACATCAGGTATAAACACAATATATACACAGCAAATACCAATGAATGTACAAAAACACACCATACATGTGGCATCCACTAAATACATACAAACACAACAATACATGCTCAAGCTCACGTGCGCACACACATACACACCACTTTTTTTCAAACTGGTTTCTCAACTGCCCATCGCACTGTCCCATTCAACTCCTTACATAACTGAGCAATTGTTCTGAAAACACAAATTAAAGCACTTGCTCGTTTAAATGCCAGTCTCTTCCTGTGGCTTCTGGACCTTCTGGCTGAACCCTGAGCATCTGATCAGAGCTAGCAGGACCCTTCATGGGCTGTCCCCTACAATGCCATCCAGCCATTGTCCCCACTTACCTACTCCCAGCAGCCAGGTGACCAACCAGTCTGCCAAGAGGCTCTGAGGTTCCTTATGGCTGTTCCCACCCCCACATCACCAGCCAGTCACACATCCAGAATGTATATTCACAGGCCGGGCATGGTGGTGCACACCTCTAACCCAGCACTCAGGAGGTAGAGACTGGAGGATCTCTAGAATTGGAGGCCAACCTGATCAACGTAGGGAGCTCTAGGACTATAAGAGACACCCTGTCTCCAAACAAAAGTATTTATCATTCTGAACCCCTTAGGAGCTCACCTGTTCTCTAAAGGGCCTTCCCAAGTGGAACCAGTCCCTTCCTCTTCTGTTCCTTGGAAAGGTAGGTGGTAGGACTGTTCACCTCCTGTGTCTGTGTCCCTGCAAGACAGGTGACCTTCTCTTTGGTAGAGTACCCTGTCCTGGTCTGGGCAGGTGTGCAGTGGAGACTGGGTGAACGGCCACACTCACAACCACACTCACACGTCTTCCTTACCCCACAGATCAAAGTAGAAAACCAGCATGACTACCAGGACATCACCAGTGTGGTGGCCATGGCCAAAACCTATGCCACCACTGAAGCCTTTATCGACTCCAAGTATGACATTCGCATCCAGAAGATTGGATCCAACTACAAGGCATACATGTGAGTCAGTGGGCAGGGGCTGGGAGGAAGGTGGGAGGAGCCTGCTTCCTTCTACTGTGATGCTATGTTTGTCCTCACCTCTGGTTCTGTTCCAGCTTAGCCCAGGATAGACTTCTCTACAAAGGTGTGTGTGTGTGTGTGTGTGTGTGTGTGTGTGTGTGTGCATGTGTGTGTGTGTGTGTGTGCATGTGTGTGTGTGTGTGTGTGTGTGCATGTGTGTGTGTGTGCATGTGTGTGTGTCTATGTATGAAGAGATTTGTGCAAATCAAGGAGTCATTTGAGTACCTTGCTGAGGGGTTGGAATTTTCTTTGGTATGAAGGAGAAAGCTGGCCCAGTGTGTGTGGAGCAGCAATCTGTTGTTCTCTGGAACCAACAAGACTCACTAAGTAGTCACATCAAATTCTCTGGTTGCAAGCAACAGAAACTACTTCTGGATATTACATGTTTTATTTTTAAGGAAATTCGTTAGAAAATCATGGGTAATCGGAAATTTTAAAAACAAACCAAAATCCCACTAAATTACTGATTTCAGAAGCAATGGGATTCGGGGCAGCCCCAGTGTACGTAGCCAGAAGTAACAGCTGACGTTCGTGGTGCCAGCGGGTGAAGAATCCACTGGGATCTTGTGCAGCCCTCATCTCAGGGTGTGCTCTGTCGCTAGCATTTTGGTTAGAGAGAGGCAGAAAATCACTACGGAAGTCCAAGCAGGAGGACAGGCGATTTGAGCAAGGTCGTGGCCTGGTAGAAGTGGAGGTACTGCCTCTAAAGGAAGAGCTGTGAATGCCAGGTGAAGGGCAGCAAAGGACGGGCTCACCTGGGACTGAGGCCACCAGTTTCAGTGGGACTTTGGAGTAGGTGGAAAGGCTCTCCCTTGAAGAGCTCTTACCTGCGTCTGGGTCTCTGTGACCCTCACTTTGGAATGTTGTTACTGGTTCCACTTCAAGTGGTGAGACCCAAGAGCCAAGTGTGGCTTTCTTGTGGCATTCATGCAACACTAACTGTGGGCACAGCTCCCTATCAAGAAGCTGCTGTGATTAGCCACGGACAGTTGGACAGTCTGTCTGTCCATGTGCTTCTGTGCTTCATAGTTTTTGCCTGAGAATCCTGTGGGCAAGCCAAGCTGTCACCTGCTTCTGTGAAGATGTCAAGCCTATCAAATCTGTGCCTAGTTTTGAATGTATTGTCTGCCATGACTTTTTACCACCTGGATTGCCTAGACCATCAGGAAAACACATCTTTGTGTAAAGGGCCAGGTAGAGACCAGGGAGATAGCTCAGTTGGTAAGGTGCAATCATAAGGACCTGAGTTCGATTCCCAGCATCCATCTAGAAAGATGTGATGGTGCATGTTTATAATCCCAGCCCCAGGGAAAATTCCTGGGGCTCAGTGCCCAGCCAGCCTAACATAATTAGCAAGCCCCAGGTCACAGTGAGAGGCCAATGGTTCCTGATGAACAACACCCAAGATTGACCTCTGGTTTCTCACTCACTCACATAGTGTGTGTGTGTATGTGTGTGTGTGTGTGTGTGTGTGTGTGTGTGTGTGTGTGTGTGTGTGTGTGTGTGTGTGATTTTAAATAGATCTAGGGGAGGTTCAATGAGTAAAGCATTTGATTTGCAAGCACAAAAACCTGAGTTCCATCCCCAGATCCCACATGAAAGTACCAGGTATGAGGTTGGGCATGATGGTGAACACCATTAACTCCAGTACTTGGGAGGGAGGTGAATCTCTGTGAGTTGAAGGCCAGCCTGGTCTACATAGTGAGTTCCAAGATGTCCAGAGTTAGTGAGGCCCTGTATCAAAAAACAAAACAAAAACAGAACTAACAGGTAGAGTCATATGCTCTTGTAATCCAAGCACTAGGTAAGCAGACAAGAGGCTCTCTGGGGCTCCCTGACTGGTCAGTCTATTCTAATTGGTGACTTCCAGGCCAATGACAGACCTTGTGGCAAAGGAGGTAGATGACATTCTGAGGATGATACCCAGCTTTTCCTCCAGCCTCAACAGGTTCACACACACACACACACAATAAAGGGTTAGGGTGATTTTAGGCTTTGAGACCCATGCAGTTGGTTGCAACTGTACAATTGCCTGGGACACTGGAAGAGATGCAGGCAGTTGACGGATAAGGACTTAGTCCCAGAAAAGAGATAAAGCCGTTTCCAAGTCCATCCTGTCAGTCAACTACCCCCTTCTTCCCCCAGGGCAGGCCAGAGCTATTTCTGCTTTCAGATGTCCTCTCACAGTGTCTCAGGGATCAGATCTCCCCCTCACCCCGCCACCCTGAATCATCTGGGCTCATCCCAGTGAGGTGGTCCGGTGCATTCTTGCGGCACCATGGTATCATTTCCTTCCTCCCTCATTGTTAGAATTGGCATTTGACCTTGCTGTCACCTTGGCCCAGTTTCTTTTCCGAGGATTACCTCATTGCTGCATTCTTCAGGCTGGGTCCTTCTGGCCTGACAGCTCCAATTTGTCATTGGTTACAGAGATTCCTGGGCCCTGGGTTGGTCCGCATCCAAGGGCTGGGGCTCATACCACACTTGAGCTGAGAATGTCCTCCGTGCCCATAACCATTCGCCCTCCTCTGGCCCACATTCCGTTCTGCACTTAGGCCTTTCTGCTTGCTGCCACTGAGGTGTCACTGCTTTTAGATTCTCTTAACATGCACAGCCAGGGCATATATGTGCATACTTGCCCACTCGTCCACATGCATCCATAATGATTTCTCTATATATCCATCTGCATGTGTATTACTCTAAATGGAGTCACACTGCTGTCTGGACCTTCATCCAATACCATGTGGTTCAATTTTGCCTTCCCTGACTGCTTTCTGTACCTCCTACACCAGTCAAGAGAAAGCTGGCTTCCACCATCCACCACTCATTGAGCTGTTCACTTGACCCCCATCCATGAGAACAGTTCAGCCTGTGCCTGACACAGTGGGAAGCAACTCTACCAAGCACAGCACATGCTTATAGAAAGTATCATTACATTCGGTCTTCACTCTTGTCCCAAGTTTCTCAGGCCAGAAATGTTCCCTCCACCTCCAAGGTTGTGCATTTGGTCTTATATACCCCAACCCCAAATTCATAGTGAAAGTCCACCACTTCTCAAGTGATAATCTTAGTAAGAGGGTAGAACCTTCCAGAAAGCAATCAGGGCTTGTTCTAGTTCCATCCTGTTACTGTGTTAAAACACTCTGAACAAAAGCAACTTAAGGGGAAAAGAATTTATTTTGACTTCCGTTCCATCACTGAGGGAAGTCAGGGCAGGAACTCAAGTAGGAATTTGAAGCAGAGACCATGGAAAAACGCTACTTGCTGGCTGACCTATAGACCCATGCTTAGTTAGCTTTCTAATACAGCCAAGGACCACCTCTCTAGGGAATGGTGCCACCCCCAGTGGGCTGGGCCCTCCTACATCAATTAACAATAAGACAATCCCCGCAGACATGCTCACAGGCCACTCTGATTTGGTCAGTCTCTCAACTGAAATGCCTTTCTCAGATGATTTGATTCTAGGCTGTATCAAGTTAACAGTTAAGGGAGTTAAAAAAAAAAAAAAGAACTCAAAAGGATCCCTTGCTTCATCCACTGCATGAAGACACAGTAAGAAGGCATAGACTAAGAAATGGGTCCTCACTAAACATGAATCTCTAGGCAACTTGAGCTTGGACTTCCAAGTCTCCAGAACCATCAGAATGAGTTATTGTTTATGAATCACACTGTTAATGGTCCTCTCTTACATCAGCCCAGATAAATAAAAGTGATTATAGTACAGACAGATGCTTTGACGACAATATCCATTCCATCCTATATCCGTCTGGTAGCATCTCATTCAAGTCAAGGGCACAGGCCCTTCCATACATGTGTGATGGGCTCCATGAGCTCTGTATAGAGAGTCAAGGGTTTGTGGAGTACAGTTTGGGGGCATCTGCCATTCAGAGGGAAGGATAACACTGGTGCCATCTCCTTCAGTTCTGTGGGGCTGACACAAGCTGATGCTTGTGAAGCTCTTGGACACACGTCTCAGATGCCCAAAGCTGTCCTCCAGTTCCAGCCCGCCCAGTAATCGTCCTCTTGGAATGAGAGCAACCTGGCTTGAGTTCCTGCTGCTTCAGCCCTTGGAATGCCTTCTTTTATTTTTTATCTTCTCCTACTGAAAATAACAGTGCAGCCCATTTGTACTGAGGGGTTGATGGGAATATTTCCTCTCATTCACACAGGACCCCACTAAGGTCTACAATTATCCCCATTTTGCCAAGGAAGAAGTTAAAGACTCGGAGATGCCGCCCATGGTCTATTACTAGACAATGCTAGAACCTGTGTCCATCAGTCTTTCCCTTCTCCCACCACCAACTCACCATGCCAAAAGCTGTTCACCTGCCAGGGTGCATCTCAGTGCATATGCTCCGGGGCCACATCCAGTGACTCTGGGAATCCTTTGGCTTCCCTGGAGTCCATATCCACTGCTAATTTACCATGTCAGTCTTCTGGCTCAAAGGTAGTGAAGGCAGGAAGTGAACAGCCGAAGGAGGGTACAGCTGTCCACTCTTGGACTAATCCGTAGCCAGATGCAGGCTGACCCTGCGATCATTGTTGTCATAGTTTCTGTCAACGTGACACAAACCTCAGCATAGCTGAGAAGAGAGACTCTGTGGAGGAATCGCCTCCATCAGATCGGCCATGTTGCTGTGTCTGTGGGGCATTTTCTTGATTACTAATTGGTGGAGGAGGACCCAACCTACTGTAGGTGGTGCCATCTCTGGGCAGATGGGCCTGGGCTGTAGAAGAAAGGTAACTGAACTGAAGAGCAGCATCCTGTGAGCTCTGTCTCAGTTCCTGCACCCAGCTTCCTGCTTAAGCTCCTGCCTTGGCTTTCCTCAGAGATGGGCTGTGTCTTGGTGACAGTTCTGTTGCTGTGAAGAGACGCCATGATGAAGGCACTTATAAAATAGAGCGTTTAATTGGGGACTGGATTCCAGGGGTCCAAATGTGTCCCGGGTTCTCCCCAGCATACATCACCCCTCACCCAGTCAGTAGCTACTGGGCACCTACTGCATGTTGAGTCCCATTGGAATTGTGTGCCCAGGGGATGGAGCGAAGCATGCTCCCTGTTTTTAGGGCTTCTCCTCCATCAGGACAGGTTAGATGAGCACAGTGCCGAAGAAAGGGGGAAAGAGAGAGCAGGGCAGGGCAGTCCGTGTAAGTCTAGGAAGGTGTGCTGCACGGGAGCCACATTCAAATGAAGCCTGAAAGATGAGCAAGGACCTGGGAAGGAAAGGTGGTAACATAGGCTGCCAGGGGCAAAGGGGAAAGTGAGTGTGTGGGACAGGAGCCATGTGTGGGCGAGCACCAAGAAGGAGGGCAGCCGTGGCTGCAAGGCAGGCAGAGATCACAAAACCTTCCCCACTCTTCACTATGGGAAAGTAATCACTTCCTCCCTAAGATCATTTTTTCCCTATATTTTAAAACCTGTAAAAAAAATTCCAGAATCACCAAGTGGTACACTGCCCTAGTTCTCCTCAAAAAAAAAAAAAAGCAAGAGGTCATGCAAATACATTTTTCCATTACTGTAACAAAACACTTGAGACAATCAACGTAAAAAGAAGAAAAGTTTGTTCAGACTCACAGTTCCACAGGTTTTAGCTCATGGTTACTTGTCTCTGTTCCTTTGAGCCTGTGGTAACACAGACATGGAGGCTACTCACCTCATGGTGGCCAGGAAGCCAAGAAAGAGGCAAGAAGGACTTGGGTCCCTTCAAGGGTATGACCCCCAAGACCTAACTTCCTCTCCCCCCACTCTCCCCATGCATCACTTGCTAAAGGTCCCCACACTCCCAATAGCACCATCAGATGCTAAAGGTCAAGCCTTAGCATGTGGGATCTGGAGTGGGGACACTGTCGGACCAAAGCTTGTGCCATTTTATCTGAAGTGACAGCCTTTTAAAATTTTGATTTTAATCTAGGGGTCGGAAACATGTCTCAGCAGTAAGAGCATTTTATTGCTCTTGTAAAGAACCAGGGTTTGGTTCCCAGCATCCAGATGGCAGTTAATGGGCTTCTGTCACTCCAGTTTACATGTATCTGATGCCCTCTTCTGGACTCTGTGGGCATCACACACATGTGTATATGGGCCAGATGTTTGAAACATCTCCTAACCACCAAAGTGAAGAAGGACAGCAGATGAGTGACGGACATCCCCAGTGACCTCAATGTATGGTTTATTCTAACCCAGGAGAACCTCCATCTCTGGAAACTGGAAGGCCAACACAGGCTCTGCCATGCTGGAGCAGGTGGCCATGACAGAGAGGTAAGAGACAAAGGGTGTGTGGAGAGAGGCACCAGCATCCATGGAACGGCACTCCAGCCACTTCCCGGTTTGCTCTTCTTTATGGTCAGCAGCAACAGAGGGCACCTGTCAAAATAACATTTGTAGATGGTACGAGTTCAGAGGAGGGAACTGGTTTGCCCTGCGCTCTGGAGGTAACAGTGGAACACTGAGGTATTGGCTTCAAGTCCAGGGATCTTCTGGGTCCTGCCCTGCTGCCTCAGTAAGAGAGACTGAAGCCTTCACCAGTCCCCAGTCATTTGCAGATAACTGGGAGAAAGCATGTTTATTAAAACATCATAAAAATGGAGATGGGCCTTCCTCAGACCATATGAAGAGAGAAAAGCCACTTAAATTGTGAGTGCTTTGGGGTGCACTGTGGCTGAGGGACCTACAGGTCTCTGTCCCTTTAAGCACTGCTGTATGGCCTCCTCAGTTGAGGGAGGGCTGAGCACCTGCTCTCTGTACAAGTCACACACACACACACACACACACACACACACACACACACACACACACACACCCTTCCCTAGGAGTCCACTGAACACTGCCTGCAAGCATGCAATAGAAGGGGCGGGTGCATGTGCTCTAGGGCCTGTAAACACTGAGAGCCTGCTGCATGCCACAGTGTGCTGAGCAGTAAAGAGGCCAAGGCAAAGGGCACTGATTCCCTCCTCTAAGAACCGTGGGTCAGCAGCAAGCCCCAGAACAGAGCATATTGGTTTGCGCTTTGGGAATTAGCCTTTGTTGATGAAAACTTGAGAGGCATGTTTTCAGGAGAGACCTAAGACCCCACCTCCACCCGCTCCATTGAAATCATTTCTTTCATGGCTGTGTTGGATCACACTTTCTCCAAAAACGGTTCACAGCATCACCAGGCTTAAAGCCTCAGTGTCAAGTCTGACAGAAAGAAAGCATCTTTTCCAGTCATTTTATCCAAAAGCCTGGAATAGAACCTTATTGGCTGCTTAGCCAGGCTTTGGGTCATATGATCACCCCTAAGCCAATCACTGGCTGAGAAGGCTGCAGGTCCGTGTTTGACAAAACCTACGGCCGGTTTCTACTCTAGAGGTTGGAGTGGGGCCAACCTCTGCAGCAACCATGGCTGAGACCCGGGAAGGGAGGTAACCTGCATACTGAGCAGTCTTTAGTAGGAGGGAAAGTAACGGCCCCACCTGGGCTAACGACAACCATCTTTCCCCACTTGTCTAACGGATGACACAGTTGCAGCCGAATGCAGTAATGCTAGGACAGCATGCCCTCAACCCTTGAGGCAGGAAGGAGAAGGGGCACCCAGTGAAATTTAGGGAAGGAGAGGCTGGGAGTGGTTCCTGAGGGAATGGGTGCCAGCATTCCATCCTAAAGAACGAGCGAGAACCTGAAGGAGCTAGCTCTCCTTTCATCTCTACCACTACGTCACAGGCACTCACTGCAGGCTAGTCTTAGAGCTGCGCCTTGGAGAAAGTGGTGGGGAAAAGAGACATCAGCCCCGGCCCTGTGAACTTCAGGGTCTATAAGCTCAGAAAGCCAGATGAACCGAGGTGAATGCCCGTGCCCCTTCTAGATAAGCTAAGAGACAGTTCTGAACTTCTTCAACTAGAAGATGAAAGCAAGTTTGCATGCCATCAGAAAGGCTAACCCCAGCACAGGCCCCCGCCAGGGTGGAAGGCTAATCCCAGCACAGGCCCCCGCCAGGGTGGAAGGCTAACCCTAGCACAGGCCCCCGCCAGGGTGGAAGGCTAACCCCAGCAGAGGGCCGCCAGGGTGGAAGGCTAACCCCAACACAGGCCCCCGCCAGGGTGGAAGGCTAACCCCAGCACAGGCCCCCGCCAGGGTGGAAGGCTAACCCCAGCACAGGCCCCCGCCAGGGTGGAAGGCTAAACCCAGCACAGGCCCCCACCAGGGTGGAAGGCTAACCCCAGCACAGGTCCCCGCCAGGGTGGAAGGCTAACCCCAGCACAGGTCCCCGCCAGGGTGGAAGGCTAACCCCAGCACAGGTCCCCGCCAGGGTGGAAGGCTAACCCCAGCACAGGCCCTGCCAGGGTGGAAGGCTAACCCCAGCACAGGCCTGCCAGGATGGAAGGCTAACCCCAGCACAGGCCTGCCAGGGTGGAAGGCCAACCCCAGCACAGGCCCTGCCAAGGTGGGTACCTGCCCTTCTCAGCCCTAGCCCAGCTGCTGCTACAGCTTCCATCTGGGAACTCCCTTGTACTGGCTGTTCTTGTGGGGTGTACCAAGTACCAGGAACACCCCTCCCACAGGGGGCATTCATGGGCAGCGGTGCCCTCTTCTTCATGACTTTCCCAGGAAGTCTTACCTCTCCTCAGAAGTTTATGGTGGAGATCTACAGCACACCACCATCCACAGGGGTGACTCCACAGGAACATTCACAGGACAGGGTCTGCTCAACCTAGCATGTTCTGTCCCTCAGACAGCCATGAGCCGTGCTCATGGCCTGGACAGAACCCCCTGGTCCCATTCCTATAGTCCCAAAGCCCCTGGAGTCCCTTAAGCAGGCCCAGGCCCTATGTGGCTCACCTCTTGTGGGGTAGCCTGAGTCCTGAGCAATTTTCATTCAGTTTGATTAGTGCTAGTCTACATGGTTGAAGGGGGACCTTTCCCATATTTCCTGGCCCCTGGGGCCCCGGCCCCTGGGATAATGCACACACATGACCTACATGTTCATCATTTGAAAATAATCTCTGGAAACAAGTTGCCTCCAGTCCTAAGTCTAGACTTCTATCTCTCATGAGAAGAACCTGACTCATGAGTGTGTCTCAGGCATTATGCTCCTTGAGCACGTTGTGTCCCATGAGTCAGCCACCAGTGTCAAATACAGTAGCTCTAACACCTGGCCCCCAGAAGCCTCTCAAAGCCCCAAGGATCAACGTTGTCACCAAATGTGGCTGCACATCGGTCACGTGAAGCATTGAGAATAGATAGAGGCCTCCCAATGACACAGGGTAGAGCCCAGAAGCTGGCCGTTCATAGGAACATGGGCTTCGCTATCCTTGTGAGTCCCAAGAACAAGAAGCATCAAATAAAGGGAACTGAGGCACCAGGAAGGAGAGGCTCATCCAAAATCACTAAGAAAATAACAAACATCCAGATCACAGGCCGGGGAGACAGATTGGTCCATAAAGTACTTACCACACAAGTATGAGGGCATAGGTTCGATACCCAGATCACACATGAAAAAGCCAGGCAGGTATGAAAGCATGCAGCTGTGATCCCAGCCCTGGGGAGAAAGAGACGGGAGGATCCTAGGGCTCGCTTGCTCGCCAGCCAGACTACACTGTTCAGCACATTCTACGTTCAGTGGAAACCTTGTCTCAAAAATCAAGGTAGAAGGCTCCTGAGAAACAACACCCAAGGTTCACTTTGGACCTGCCACTCGTGAGGGTGTACATGTGCTCCTACCCAACATGTTTGCTTACAGCCTGGACGCAGATTGGAAGCCAGACTGTTAGTTGTTACTCTCTCAGCCTCGGCTTCTTCATCTGAAAAACTGAACTCAACCCTCCCTCCTTGATCAGTTTGTGCTGGGATGAGAAGCAATGAGGAGCTAGCCTGCCGGGCACAGAATGGGTCTTCATCCCACCGTCTGCTCCCAGCATGCTCCTGGCTGCAGCTGGATGAGAGAATGAGGTTGGAGATCTAGAGGAGCATGACCGTGTTACTGCACTGCTGCGTAACCTCGGAGAGAGCCCTCCTCTTGGGCCTCAGTGGGCCGGGGGTGATAGTATCAGTTAGTGAGTTCTTAGAAATCGTCAGCCATGCTCGCTGCTCCTCATTCCAGGCCACATGGCTCAAACACACAAATAGATCTGAGAGCTGGAGTGTCCCGTGTGACCCTAGAGAGTGGGGAGAGAAGCAGGGACATTGACACAAAGTCCCCTGTGACTCCCAAATCCAGTCCACAAGGAAAGCCAAGTGCATGCCCAGAAGATCTCCCCAGATACAACCAACCCCTTGTTGTAGGGTCAAAGTTCCCAGCCCAGATCTGTCCCCAGCAAAGCAAACTGGCCCTGCAGCTGTCAGTCACTGGAATAGGAACAAAAGCAATTGGTCCAGAGGGCCAGGCCCCCAGGCAAGTCAGGAGCTGTCTGAAGGAGCGCCCCTGCCCCCCACTCTCCCCTGCTCGGGGAGAATGAGGCCCTTTGTCCCCCACAGGCTCTTGTCTGGCTGGGGCTCTGAGCAGGGAGAGTAGCCTGGAGGGATTTTTAGAGTCCTTCAAATAGCTTTCCCAAGGGAAAAGGGCTGCAGGGGTGGCTGGGTGTCCGGATGGCTCTGGATTGGGGCAAGGCAAGCTTCATACTGCTGCAGAGCCGAGGTCCTGGAGCAGCAAAAGGGTGGCCGTGGGTCTCTGAGACCTCTTGGTTCTTATCCCTTTCCTCCTCCATCCTCCCTCCCTGCTTCCTGAGTGCCCCTATCCTTGGTCTTCCTTCACTCCTGTCTCCTTTTGACCTCTTGCCTTGCTTCTTACCCCATGCTCACTGTCAGTCTGTCTGTCTTTGCAGGTACAGGCTATGGGTGGACAGCTGCTCAGAAATGTTCGGTGGCCTAGACATATGTGCTGTCAAGGCTGTCCACAGCAAGGATGGCAGAGATTATATCATCGAGGTGAGGAATGGAGCAGGGGGGTCCAGCCTGGACCATCCCAGCAGGAAAAACTCCAAGATGACCCCCAGCATGGCAGCCATGTCCTGGCTCCTGGCCTGCCACATGTAGCTCAGGGCATAGGGAGCCCCTCCCAGGGTGCTTCATGCACCCACCTCAGCTGCAGCAACAGAGGGAGCCTTCCTGCTCAGCACTCTGACCTCAGAGTTCAGACTCAGGGTACAATTTTTCCTAACATGTCAAGCTAAGAGTCCACAAGCTTCTGTGCCAGTGTCCAGTGTCCTCGGTGTTCAAGGATATGACGTGAATGCACTTCCTTTCCCACGGTGTAAGGGTTCCATTCTTAAGTTCTTTCAACTTAACAAATGAAATTCTGAGGCAGCCTGGAACAGTAGATACAGAATTTGCAAGAGAAAGCAAAGGGACACCACTGTACAGGGTATGGCTGGAGGGACAGATGAACTACCAGAAATAGAGTTGTAAGAGATGTTCACAGATGGGCACTGGGACCCAGAACCACTCCAAAGACCCTTCTGCAGCCATGCATCTCTCTATCCCACAGTATCCTCTTCCCTCTATAACCCCTTCCTAACCTCCTCAGGGGCTTCTTCTCCTCTCCCCTCCCAGCCTCCAACAGTTCTGCAGCTTTAACCTAAAACATCCCTGCGGCCTCAGGGCTCCCCTCCAATCCCAGCTCCCAGCTCCATGGTTGTACATGGTCCTTTCAGCTCACTCCTTCCATGGGCCTCACTTCTCAACCTATCAGGGAGGAATGGGCTGACACCAGGCCCAGACACATGAGGGGAGCCCTGCAGCCACCCTCCCCTGTAGCTGCCTCTCCACGGGTGTGGGCTGGGATGACCTCAGTAGCCAGCCAGTCCTCCAGTCCTGCATGTCTGCCCCACTGCCCAAGGACCAACAGGCAAACAGCACCAGGTAACTGAATGGGCAGGAGTATGGTAATGCAGGAAGGTGTACCACCAGGTCAGGAAAAGGCTGCCTTGGCAGTGGGAGCCCAGGACCAGAGACAGTCTCACTAGCTGCCCCCCCCCCCCCCCCCCCCCCCCGCCCAGAAAGGCTGGATGCTACCGCCAGGTGAATGGGCATCTCTGTGCAGGACTGCGTCCTCACCTCAAGTCAGAGACCACTTTTCCTCTGACCATTCCCAGAACAGATGTGAGTCGAGGGCCTCTTCACTTGGGACATCAACAGCTCCTGGTAAACCACCCAACCCTGCCTTTCCTCACTAAGACACTAGATATGACTGGTTGGGACTCACACACACTCATTTCTTCACTCTGGGCACCAGGCTCTAAGCCAGATAAATGGGGCTCAGATGTGTCAACAGAGTAGGAGAGGAGTGACCCCAGGGGTCAAGAGAGATGGCTTATAGTCAAGAGCTCTCATTGCTCTCGCAGAGGACCTAGGTTTGGTTCTCAGCATCCACATGGTGGCTCACAGCTGTCCAGCATATGCACATACATACATACATGCAAGCAAAACACTCATACAAACCAAACAAATAAATCTTTAAAACGTGAAAAGAGCAACATGAACTGCTTCCCTCCTCTCTTGGTTCAGCACCACACACACACACACACACACACACACACACGCAAGTGAGCTTGTCTCTGAAATCCCTCCACTTTCACAAAAAGCTGTCTATACCCAGAGGCCCCAGTTCCAGACACTTGGGGGCTGGGAGGATGTCAGGAATGAAAGACACTTCACATTTAAAAACAAACAAACAAAAAAGCCACTTTGGGTCTTCTAAACACAAGAAAACAACTTTTCAAAAATGTTCCAGAAAAATCTCAAACAAATTAAAAAGATGGCTTTCAGATTTGGGTTTTTTTTTTTCCTCAGAAACATTAGGGAATTGTTTTCCTTTGGGGTTTGGGATGGGATCAGGAAGAGAGGGAGCCTGTTCCTAGGAATAAAAAAAATGTATTTTTTCCCAGTAAGGGGGAAAGAGGCAGCAGAGATCCAAAAACACTGTCTCTCAGCCACCTCTGTGTGAGAGCACAGCGCTTGTGCGGCACATTCAGTGAGGGTGCTCGGGGGAAACACGCTGAACCTTGTCCTCTCTGACCTGGCCCAGGGGATGACCTTGCTCACTGGGAAAAAATGTTTCCCTGAGGGGAGTGACCGTCCACTTCCTTTGGCTGTGTCCACTACGGGGACTCCAGGTCCTGACCTCAGGCTCCGTGTCGTGTCTGTTTTCCACTGCAGAGAATGTGGGGGACAGTCCAGGGCAAAGCAGCAGGCATGGTGGGAGGAAGAACCACAGGCCAGGTGCCGGGAGCCCAGGACCCTTGGGGACAGGCCCTAGGACAGTCATAACTGCTGATGGAGACTGCCTGTGACCCAGGCAGGAGTTCCATTTAGGGACAGTTTACAGGACTTTCTGGGATCCATATCCATGCCCTGCTTTGTGTTTCAGTCCCCGAGGCACACTGGGTGCTTGTACCCACAATTCCCTGAAAATTACAGCCAGGAGGGTCTTAGCAGCTGCCTGAACCCTTAGTTGACGAAAAGTATACCCAGAGAAGACAAGAGACTTCCCCCAGTACGTCCATAGCAGAACACAGGCTTGGAACCCAGGCTGCCTCATCCAAAGCCTTACCACAGAGCCACCCAGTGCTTGGTGAGAAGATCCCTGCTGCCCTAGAACCTCCCAGTCTGACCCTCGGTTTCATCACTCTGGTGAGGATAATCAGAATAACCATAAGCCTCAAAGATTGTTGTTGTTGTGAGATAGGGTCCCATGTAGCCCAGGCTGCCCTCAAATTCGATATGTAGGAAGACCTTGAACGTCTCCTGTCCCTGCCTCCACCTCCGGAATGCTGGGATTATAGTGCTGGGGATGGAAGTGAAGGCCCCAAACATGCTAAGTGAGAGCACTCTACCACATCCCTGGCCAGCAAAGTGCTGCTCTAAGATAGAGCTGACGTCACCTATACCCGGCTCTTAGAATAGTGCCCTGTATCTCACCAGTGCCCAGTGAAACTGTACTGTCAGGGCCTTCCCAGGGTGAACACAGGACACCCCTGACTCCCTAGGCTTACAGATGGCAAACGACAGTTCTGGGACTAAGCTCTCCAAAGGGACAGTCATGTGAGCTCAGCAAAGACACAGGTACAGAGGGGCTCCTAGGAACTTGTGGGGTCCTGAAGGGGCTTCTGGCTGACTAGGTATTTCATGATGGATAAGGAGTTGGCTAGGTGAGGGGTGGGCACAGAGAGTTGGGTACAGGATCTGGAAATGAGACTGTCTGATTACCCCAGAGCTGGGCAAAGGGCAAAGACGGTTTGACAGGGTGAGGCAGGCGACAGAGGAAGACTGGATTCCTGCAGGAGAGGAGAGAGGTAGCCAGCACAGCTCTGTCACAGGCCTACCAAGACTTTGTGTTCCCATAAGACTGTCAGCTGCCTGTGCCTAGCGATCACCTGGCCCACTGGCTCTCGTCTCTGAGCCTCAGTTTCCCCATCTATTATAAAAGTAGACTAGGCCAACATGACCCTCCAGGACTGTCACCCCTCTTCCCTAAGAACAGCCTGGTTCCCAGGGAATGAGATTCATGTCGGGACTGCATCCTGCCGGGGCCCCTGTCCTCTTCTGTCTTCTCCATAAACCCTGGGTCACTTCCAGCCTGCGTCCAATTTTTGGTTGTTGTTGTGATTGAGCCCCATTACTGTTCCCAGCTCTGAGGACATCGTCAACCTTGGGCCAGAAGAGAAGGGGCCAGTCCCAACCCTGGGAGGAAGCTGGGGTGGGAAATGAGGGGGTGGAGACCGACGCCCCAAAGAAAAGTACAGAAAAGGTCAGCACGTGCTCCCCCGGCCCTGGTCACGTTGCTGGACTCCGGCGTGTGGAGGCTGAGTTGAACTGAATCCAGAAGTCTGTTGAGAAGGAAACAGAACGGATGTCTACTGGGGACCCAGGCAGCAGGAAGAGCACAGCTGAGCTGTTTGCATGGAGGACATTGCCATCTAGTGGTCATTCTGTTCTGAGCTCAGCGTCAACACTCCCAGAACAGGAAGCCCTTCAACTTCCTTTTCCTCCCCCAGGTCATGGATAGTTCAATGCCCCTGATCGGAGAGCATGTAGAAGAGGACAAGCAGTTAATGGCCGACCTTGTTGTCTCCAAGATGAGCCAACTCCTGGTGCCGGGCAGCATGGTGCCCTCACCCCTGAGACCTTGGGTAAGGCTCCCTTGAAAACAAAGGGGATTAGTGCCTCCAGAATGAAAACTGCCAGGATCCAATGGAGATAACCCCAGGCAGGCGTCGTGTAGGACAACGGGGTGGGGACAGGGGAGTGCCGGAGCCCTTCCCCCCTTTCCCTATCCCCCAAGAAGAAAACTCCTGTCACATCAGCCTTTGCACAGATTGTTGACAGTGTTGATTTCTGTGTCCCCATCTTGGGCCTGAGCTTGGGTGTGTGCACCTGTGTGTGCAAGAATACATGTACACATGTGTCCTATGTTCCCCAAGCACAAGTCAATGCAGACTATTATGTCTCCTGCTTCCCCACTCCCCAAGCCGGCAAGCTCCCACCCGTCCTCTGCAGAGGCCCCACCAGGGACTACCAGACCCTCTTCAAAGAATGTACCAGCTGGTCGGCCCTCTGGAAAAGCAAGTTTCAAATCCTCCTCCAACCCCAGTCCCTGCTTTTCCCACAGAGACTCATTCCTTCATAGCCATGGGGATAGGAGTTAAACTCAAGGAGCTAGCAGGAGGGAGGGGGCATATGCAGCATCCTTCATGGCTACGCTGAAAATCTATCATGAGGTACACCGACGAGTCATGCATCGTGGGTCTTACATCAGTGATATTTTAAAAAAATAAAATAAAACTGTATAAGGCCTTGACTCCCACCCAGAAACTCTGTCCACCACAGGCTTCCTTTCTCTTCTCTCGCTCTAGGGTCCACAAACTAAACTTGCAAAATCTCCTGGGCAAGGCCAGCTGGGTCCTCAGCTAGGACAGCCGCAGCCAAGGCCACCTCCACAAGGTAAGACTCAGGACAGCCACTGAGAAACACTGCATCAGTGAGGACATTGAAATGCTGTGCAGAGGAGGACCGGGGAGGGGGCTCAGCAGGGAAGAGCGCTTGCTGTGCAAACGTGAGTTCAAATCCCCAGCACTCATGTAATTAAGCTGGCCGTGGCCAAGCATGCCTGTAGCTCCAGCCCTGGAGGAAGGGAGGAACAGGCAGCTCTCGGGAACTTGTTGACCAGCGCAGTCTAGCTGGAATGGCAGACTTTGGGTTCTCGACCTGTGGGTCATGGCCCCCCTGGGGGTCACAGATTGGATAACCGGCATATCAGCCAATTTCATTACAGTTCATAACTGTAGCAAATTACAGTTATGAAGTAGCAATGAAATAATTTTATGTTTGAGAGTCACCACAACATGGAGAACTGTATTAAAGGGCCACGCCATAAGGAAGGTTGAGAACCACTGGTCTACAGGGAGTAAGGTAGGACCCAAGGGTGTGTGCATAGACACAGAGCGATTAAATAATAACTAAATCAATAAAAATGTGTTGCTGAAGACAGCCTAGAGCAGTGATTCTCAACCTTCCTAATGCTATAGCCCTTTAATACAGTGCCTCATGTTGTGCTGACCCCAACCATAAAATTATTTTCATTACTACTTCATAACTGTAATTTTGCCCCTGTTATGAATCATAATGTAAATATCCGTGTTTTCTGATGGTCTTAGGTGAACTTGGTGAAGGGGTCACTTGACAACCTCCAAGGCGTTGTGGCCCACAGGTTGAGAACTGCTGGTCTAGACAATCCATCCTGATCCTTTATCTTTGGGCTGTGCACACTCCCTCCATCTGCAGGATGAGGAGGTCAGGAGGGCTGCTGTCCCCTTAAGGTCGGGAAGGAGTTAGGAAGAGAGTGCAGTGGGGCCGCCAGGCCCCTTGCTGGGGCCATTCCCTTCTGTCCCCATGTCCATCCTCACAGACACTTTGCAGAGGGAGCATCAGTGTATCCCTTTCCCCAAGTAGGAAACTGAAGTTTTGCCCAGAAGGCTCAATGAAAGATGGCAGGTTTTCAAGCCTGGACGCTCAAACCTTCTGGGAAATGTTATTTCCAGCCACTAGTGGTGCCTGAGTATACATTTGTGAGCCAACCAGCCAGAGTGAGAAAGAGAAAAAGAAGAAGCCCAGAACATTATACGCGCAACTGCTGACGTTCTTTCACAGAACCATCCCTGATCTACTCCAAAAGAGCCACGGCTTGTTAGAGGGTGGATTCGGGATGGACGACAAGAGCGGGGAGAATCATGAGACTAGCTAAAGACCTGCTGGAGGAAGGTCACGTGTGGAGGGTTTCCCACGCATGGGCTCCAGGGGAGCACCTGCCAAGCATGTTCCTTGTAGCAGATCAGTGTGCTCAGCCTGGCTGCTCTGGGCCAGATTGGGCTTCAGAGCAGCTTGGCATGGAGATGCCCTCCTTACAATCTCGACAGAAGGCATTTCCATCCTGTCCTGAACTTTCTAGTCACATCTATTAAAGCGACAGATTCATTGCTTCTTGGGAGGAATGGGCCTTGGGCACCAGATGGCTTCCTCTTCCACAGCTCTTTGTGAAAGAGCCCCTCCTCCTTCCCTCTTTCCCTCCATCCCTTTCAGCCTTCTCTCCTTCTTTCCTTTCCCCATTACCCCATTTACTTAACATAATCATCCAGATTAGCTTACTTTCTCATATAAATGCCTTTGAAATTGACTGCCCCTAATATTCTCCAAATGTATGCACAATAGTCAAAATTATATTTAACCGTGGACTGAAAGTTACCATTATTTGTCAAAATCCAGTTAGGTAGCATTTTAATTCTCAGTATCTGTGGTCCCATAGTCTTCTCAGAATATAACAAATAAGGCATGATGAGTCCCAGCACAAAAGAAACCGAGACAGGAGGATTATTGTGAGTTTGAAGCTAGTCTGGACTACCAGGTGAATTCAATGCCAGGCCAGCCTGGGTTACAGTATGAGATCCTGTCTCAGAAGAGGGAGAGTTTTAGTGTCAAAAAAAGGACAGAGGTTGACCTCTAACCTTCACATGCAGGTTGGTACCTGTGCATACAGCTATGCACGAGCACACACACACTCATGCAGGTTTCTACCTGTGCATACAGATGTGCACATGTACACACACTCATGCAGGTCTGTACCTGTGCATACAGATGTGCACATGCACACACACACACTCATGCAGGTTTGTACCTGTGCATACAGATGTGCATGTGCACACACACACTCATGCAGGTTTCTACCTGTGCATACAGATGTGCACATGCACACACACACACACTCATGCAGGTCTGTACCTGTGCATACATATATGCATGTACACACACATACACACACACACACACACACACACACACACACACACACTCATGGGGCAGGGGACATATAATAACATATCCCAAACTGTGTTCATTCTAGAGGCCAAAGTTAGCCTCCCCATTTCTTTCTGAGTCTTTCTCCCAAAGGTTTGTTTTATTCTCTGTAGTGACAAGTCTCCACAGCTCGAATAACTCAGAACCCTTTTCATTAAGAACAGCAACATTTTGTGGACGATAACCTGCTAGCCACGCACAGTGCTTGTCCACCCGCCCTTCTTACCTGCGCTGGTTTTACTTCTTTTTTCTGGGGAAATTGGGGAGAGTTCAACAAAAGGAGATGGCAGACGTTCACCCCTGCGTTCCCATGATGAAACACCTGAACTCAGCTCTAAAAGGAGAAAGGCTTTATCGGCTCCTGTTTCAGAGGTCCAGTCACGTGGCCCTGGGTTTGGGACCTGTGACGACACAGTATTCACAGCAGAGGGAACATCACGGAGGAAGACAGTTTGCTCGTGGCAGCAGAGACGCAGAGAGGGAGGAATTAGGTCCCCAGTGACCTAACTTCCGTCCACTTCACCCCCAGAGTGACACAAACATGGGTGACGCCTCTAACACATAGAGCTCTGGGGGCCGTTAAGACAACACTGAAGCAAACCCTGTATAATGAACAGTAGTGCTCTCCCGGCAGTATAGTATATATGCGCTCAGTCCAGTTCCTTGGCAGCACCTTTCGGGTTCAGGTGAGTGGTGACACTGTAGAAGGGATCTTAAATGTTCTTATTAATAAAGTCAAACCTGAGCCAGGTATTGGGGTGAACACTGGAAGATCAGAGAGACAGAACAAGCCACAGCTACCTCACCTGGCCAACTTCTCAGCTGGTCTTGTTTCCTCAGACTGGAAGCCTCTGTGTCCTCACATCTGAATGGCTCTCAGCTGAACTGTGCTGCTAAAACCTAAAAGCTTAACCAGCCAAATGCTTAACCAGCCAAATGCTTCTAGTTTCTGGTCTTCATGCCTTATATATCTTTCTGCCTTCTACCATCACTCCCTGGGATTAAAGGCTCGCTTCTTGGGATTAAAGGCGTGTGTCACCATGCCTGGCTATTTCCAATGTGGCCTTGAACAGATGGATTTCTGCCTCTGGAATGCTAGGATTAAAGGCGTGTGCTACACTGCCTATCCAAATTATCTAGTGGCTTTTCTGTTCTCTGACCCCAGATAAGTTTATTAGGATACACAATATTTTGGGGAACACAATACCACCACATGACACCCCTTTGAACCTCAATTTCCCCAGTGACAATGGCCAGAGAGGAGATTAGCATACACTAGCTCTCCGATATTTATTTATTTATTTATTTATTTATTTATTTATTTAGGCAGGGTTTCTCTGTGTATAGCTCTGGCTGTCCTGGAACTCACTCTGTAGACTAGGCTGGCCTTAAACTCACAGGGATCTGTCTGCCTCTTCCTTCCAAGTTCTGGGATTAAAGGCATGTGCCACCACTGCCCAGCTACACTCTTCTTTTTAAGGAGGTGCCATTCAAAGGTTTAAAGAGTTAGTCTTGGAACGTGAGGGAAAGGAGGCGGCAGAGCCAGGGGTTAGTAGGGCAGCAAATATAGAGCCTGGGACCATTTGTAACTATTATTATTGTCAGGCAGAGGGGAGAAGGGCTTCATGTGTCAGAAAAGCAGTCTCAATTAGAATTGCTGGTAAGATAGCAGGTATTACTAGGAAGAGCCGCATCATTGCCATTAGCTGTACGTTATTAGCAGTGAGGACTGAGCCCTCTAACGGAGTCAGCGCTATCCTATGGGCAAGTCCTCATTACTCCTCATTACTTATCAAGGAGAAGCAGCTTGATAAAGAGAGATTATTTTAGGAACATGTAGCTAAACTCCCATGTGGGTGAGTTGAAAAATAATTAATTTAAAACCAATTGAGGCAATTAAAGGAAATGTTCAGTGAATTACCTTTCAGACTGAAAATAACTAGGCCAACTTAAAAAGTTTTTCACCAGTTTCTATAAATAACAGAATCACATTATTAACTTGTTTTGAACCCATTTTCAAGCTCAGTGAACATGAAGTTTTCTTTTAATAAACTTTATCTTTTTAGGGTCAATTCTGTGCTTAGGAAAACATTATATATACAAAATATTTTCTGTATATGCCCAAATGAAAAATATGAAGTTGTTTGCTTTGCCAAAGAGCTGTAAGAAACAACCAACTTATCTCCTGATGGATCCCAGTGGTAGAGGAGAAATACATGGAATAGTCGATGAGTTATTGAACAAGGACACAGGTTTTCCAAGATAGTATCAACCCAGGGTTGCGGGGGGAGGGCTTAAGACAAAAGGAGAAAACAGATGTTTTGTTTGACCTGCGCTGGGTTGAGAAAACACAAAAGTGGTCAACATACAAAACTTGTGAAACTTCTTAAACACCCAGGTTTTCTCTCAAGTCTCCCACCCCTTCTACTGCTCACTCTCTAGCCTCTCCGGAAGCACAGATGTTCTAGAAATACCCAACATTCCCTGGTGGTTAGTAAGGGCTGTCACCTTGGTCACAGAGGGACTTGCCATTTGCCTCAGGGCCTTCTCTTCCCTTCTTCATTTCCACAGAGACAAGAATCCATTTCCTTGTGTTCACTGTCTTTAGAAAGTCTTACACCAAGTGGGAATTAAGTCTTGGTATCTGAGATAGTGTCTCACTCTGAACACAGACTGGACTGACACTCACCATATAGCCAAGACTAGCCTCAAATTTGACACAATCCTCCTGCCTCAACTGCCTAAACGAGTCACTACACTTGACTCTATATATCTTCCTTCCTAATTACCTCTTCCTTTTCATATAAGGACTCCATGCCTATTGCATCAAAACCTCACCTTTAACCTTAATTACCTCCTTGAAGACCCTGCTCCAAATGCAGTCACATTGAGTGTTTAAGAAAACATGTTCTGTCTATAACAGCATGTCCAATCCCTATCTTGATGCAACTGCCCCACGAACCCATCCCTGCATTGGAGTGTGAGGCCCACCTGCACTCTGTGCAGCCTTCCAGTGTTTCCTTATTATATGGCTCCACACATCAATGCTCAAATGAAAAACAAATACGTCGGGCAGTGGCACTCGGGAGGCAGAGCCGGGCGGATCTCTGTGAGTTCGAGGCCAGCCTGGTCTACAGAGCAAGATCCAGGACAGGCACCAAAACTACATGGAGAAACTCTGTCTCAAAAAACAAAAAACAAAACAAAAAAATACATGCTATGTTAGAAACTGCTTTTTCTCTTTCTGTTTAGTGGTATCTACTTAGCACATACTGTCAACAGGTGAGTTAATGTTACCCTGACATAACATATGACAATCGGCCCACACCCCATTATCTGGATTCTTTCTTGTGACTGTTTTTGTTTTAACACAACGTCTTACATAGTCCAGGCTGGCCTTGAATTCTCTATATCAAGGATGACTTTGAAATTCTGATCTTCTTGCATCTGCCTCCTGAACACTGGAATTACAGGCATGTACCGCCATGCTTAGCCATGCTGGAAATCAATTAGAGGGTTTCGTGCATGCTAGACAAGCGGGCTACCAACGGAGCTATGTCCCCTGCCATCCAGTTGTTTCCTGATGTTCCTAACTACATCCCTGAGATCTGGCATCTATGTTGTTTTCCATTATAAACAACGTGTTTATATAAACATGTGTGTTAAGTGCACAGCCACATTTATTCCCCAAACAAATTAAAACTTAACCCTTTCTTCTGTTTGTAGGCGGCTCTCGTCAAGCTCAGTCTCCTCAGCCTCCCAGATCTAGAAGTCCATCCCAACAGAGGCTTTCCCCACAGGGCCAACAGCCTGTGAGCCCTCAGTCAGGCTCTCCACAGCAGCAAAGGTCCCCAGGTTCTCCACAGCTATCCCGGGCATCTGGTGGCAGCTCTCCAAACCAGGCCTCCAAGCCAAGCGCCAGCCTCGGCTCACATCCCCGGCCGCCTGTGCAGGGCCGCAGCACCTCCCAGCAGGGTGAAGAGCCCCAAAAGTCAGCACCGCCTCACCCCCACCTCAAGTAAGTGTCTGAAGTCTGAATGGGCCGAGAGTAGAATTAGTGTCCTAATTCTACTGATTCAGGGTCAGGAACGAAGAGACAAAGGACCAAACAAAACCTCACCGAGAATTCGGAGAGGGGCACGTGGACCTGTAGAGTGGCATTTGTGTAGCAGGGACCAGCAATTGGGGAGAACAGATTAGGCTCCACATGTCCTCATGATCCCTGTATCAGTCACCACTTGCGATGTAACAAACAAACCCAAATTTATGTGACTGAAGCAAATCAGTTTCCTGATTGTTCTAGTTTCCTGTTGCTGTGATAAAACGCTCCGACAAAAAGCAGTTTTAGAAAAGCTAGAAGATAGCTCAGTGGTTAAGAGCATTCTCCTAGAGGACCAGGGTTCGGTTCCCAGCACCCCCATGGTGGCTAACAACCGTCTGTAACTGAATTTCCAGAAGATCTGACACCCTCTTCTGGCCTCTATGGGCTCTACATGCATGTAATGCACAGAGATACATGCAGGCAAAGCACCCATGCACATAAAATACAAATAAAAATCTTGAAAAATTGTTTTCTAAACAACTTAGGGGAGGAGAGGATTTGTTTCAGCTCCCAGGTCACAGTTTATCATTGAGAGGAATCAGGAAGTGAACTCCAACAGGAACTTGAAGCAGAAACTATGGAGAAATGTTGTTGGCTCACTTGCTCACTCACCCCTACTTAGCCAGCTCTCTCTCATAGCCCAAAGCCACCTGTCCAGGGAATGGTGCCGCCCACAGTGGCCAGGCCCTCCTACATCGATTAACAAGCAGGGCAGTCCTCACAGACATGCCCACGGGCCTCCCTCAGCTGAGGATCTAGAACAGGGACTGCCTGGTGTCTCAGCTAATGCTGGGAACTCTGTGAGAAGAACTGGAGCCTGACTTAGCCCACTAAGGCTGAAACGGTCCCACAAATTACAGGGCAGCCTGGGGTTGTGGGGGGGAGGGGGGGAGAATGGAAGCTGTACATGTTCCCGACTTCTTCCTGGAAGGTCTATCCAAGCCAAATACTTGCCTCTGGGAATACCGATTTCAATACCTAAGAAAATGAAGGCAATACCTCCCACCTTGCAAATTCTAGGCTAACATCATACACACTGTGATGCCTGGTTTCTGGTCTCACCATCTTTTGATGACTGGGCTCAGCCAACCTTAGAGCCAGTCCCAGACTCATTCCCTTGGAAGTCCCAGCCATAACCATCCTCAAAACCTTGCTTTCTGTTTCAGCAAATCTCAGTCCCTGACGAACAGCCTCAGCACATCAGATGCCTCCCATCGAGGGACCCCAAGTGAAGATGAGGCCAAGGCCGAGACCATCCGCAACCTGAGGAAGTCCTTTGCCAGCCTCTTCTCTGACTAGCCCCACCTAAGCTGGAGGGCAGGAAGACTCAGTGACTGGAGCCTTTCTCTGGTTCCCTCCTTCTCAGCCTTGGTTCCTGGTGGAAACACGCTTCCTAGATGCCTCTGACCCAGGAACTGATGATCTATATGCATTCCCACCTCCTTGACCATGACATTCCAATGCCGTCTGACTGAGCTGTAGCCTTGAGAGCCCCTGGGTTCCTCAACACGGGCCTTCCAGACAGACAAGGCGTCATTACACCCACCATATGCTTGCTCCCCTGCCACTGGTACCGAGTGAGATGTCTATGTGGCTCATTTTTTGCGTTCTTATTAGTGTTTTGCTTGCCTTTGGGCAGAGGCCCTCTTTGAGGCCTTGACTCTCTTTCATCAAATGCAGACATTGTAGTCGGACCTCAGCAACATAAGAGGCAATACTTTTTAATGGTGTTTTTGCAAACAGAAATAGGGAAGCCCAGCCCAGGAGCCTACCACATACCTAAAGCAAGCTAGTGCCATCCTTGCCGGGAGCAGGCTGACAAAGGCCCCATCTCAGCTGGCCCTCACAGGGACCTTGATGCCAACAGAAAGAAGCTAGACCCTCTGCAACAAGTGGGGCCTTTCAGAACAGAACAGAGGGAACCACACATAATGCTACCCATGCTTAGAGCCAACAGCAAGAATCCAGAGGAGAGAGCCTGTGCCCCCTGTGGAGAGCATTACAGGATTGTGCCTCTCTGACCTCACACAGAATCTGTTCTTTTTCCTCCTTAAGGCTAGATGGGAAACCAGAGAGAGTGGATAGCTCCCTGTCGCAGGATCAGAAGACATGGTGATGGAGTCTATATGGTTCGGCATTTTACCTGCTCTGAACAAGGTGTCAATAGGCCACTCAATTTCCAAAAGGTCTCCTGGTGAGACAGCCCTCAGAAACAGTGCGTGTGTTTCTCTTTAGGAGACACAGAATACAGAACACACATTGAAGCCTTTTGGAATTTCTTCCAGAAAAAGTTCCACTCCAACCTTGTTTTAGTCATTATGACGAGGATAGTTTGCCGCAGAGCTAGGCAAAGTGGTCCTGACTCCCCCTCCAGTGCTCCTTTGCTCCTTCCCTGACACCAGACCGCCTCCCGGATCACATCACCAAGCACCTGGTGCTAGAAACACTGTAGGTGCCAGAACAGTGTCCTGGTCCCAAGACGACCCAGGACATCAGAACACAGCCATGCGTATCTGTACAGCCCTGCTGGCCACCTGTGGTATGCCTTCCTTGCATGGTGTTGAGGGAGGGAAGTTACTAACTACACAGCTTCTGCTTCTGCTTCTGCTTCTGCAGATTGCTTGGTGATCATCCGAGGCTTTTCCAAGTCTCCAGGAGTAGAAGCAGTCATTGTAGTTTCTGGGGAGTTTTCTGCTTGTTTTCTTGAAACAGACTCATTCAGCAACTCAGGCTGGCCTAAAACTTATATAGCTCATGCAACTCTCAAACTCATGCTGATTCTCCCTCTTTATCAGCCTCCCAAGAGCTGAGACTGCACGAATGAACTGCCACACCCAGCGGTTCATCATCCTCCCAGCCCAGACTGGAGTGGCAGAGACAAGGGTAGAGACCCTCTCCTGCCTTGGCTCACTTAGAATCCTGCATTTCTGCAGAATGCACCTTCAAGCTGGTTTCCAGCAGGGATCAGCTCAGCACCCAAAGTGGCAGCTTTGGCCATGGCTGCAGAGATCCTTTTGGCCCTTGGGGTCACCCTCTTCCTTCTTGCCTTCTCCCTCCCTCATGATCAAGTCAATATGGAGAACAAGCGCACCAGAATTATTTCAGAAGCCCTCCTTGGCCTCTCTTTCCATATTCTTGGCTTGGAGGAATAAACAGCAGCTGTAAGTCTACGTTGTGTAGGTCCAGTGACCACTGAGGCCATAATTTGGAGCTGTAGACCACAGGGCTTCTGGCATAGTTGGAACTGACTACTCAATAGCAAATATGCTGTGGTGTGAAGTGAGGAGTGATCTTCTGAAGGCCCAGACCCCTCCCAGCACCAACAAAGCCCAACCTCTTTTATTCCTAAGTTCCAATGAGTTCAGTGTATACAGGACAGTCCCTGAGGCACATCTTCCTCATTTTGCCCAACTGCTCTTCTATCATAGAATGAGGCTGGCAAATACTTCCAGAATGCTCCTTGAGGACAATGGGGATGACCTAGAATGTGGTAAGACACATGGCACAAGGGTCAATACATTCTCCTGCCCCCCACCCACTGCCCGGTGAGGGAGAGGAGGTCTTGAGGCCAGCATCCCCAAGCCATGCTTTAGATAGGTTATCCAAAGGAAGAAAAAAGGTCAGTCTGAGTTCACAGAATGTTGCTTCTTCCTCCTGCTCCTCCTACTGACTTAGCTCTTGTACCTTTCTCTAGAACCTCTGAAGAAAATTAGGTGGAGCAGAAGGAAGGATTCGGTGGGGAGGATAAGATTTGAAATGTCAAAGATAGTCTGTTAAAGTGAGTTCTACAGAAGAAGATGTGGGTGTTGTTTCTGATTATCTACCAGATGTGAGTCCCCTTTTCAGGTCCCCCAGCACCTTCCTCCCTTCTCCTCACTCCCTCTCTATTTTACACACACACACACACACACCTGGCTAATGACCAGAATGAACACATTAAAATGTAACATCTTGCCGGGCATGGGTGTGCACCCTTTAATCCCAGCACTCGGGAGGCAGAGGCAGGCAGATCTCTGAGTTTGAGGCCAGCCTGGTCTACACTTTGAGTTCCAAGACAGCCAGGACTACACAGAGAAACTCTGTCTTGAAAAACAAAAACAAAGGAAAGGAAGAAAGGAGCGGTAAGAGGTTAAAACCCCATTACCTCATTTCAGACCATAGTCCTCTTTCCAGGGGGTCCCTGATGACTTGTTTCAGTAACAGACTGCTTCCCTACCAGACCTTGAGAAGCCAGGGCTCACTCATGAGGCACACGTGGAGGGAATCAGCACACCAGCCTCACCTGATTGAGGGGCCCTTTGCTCCTGACAATGACAGTTGAAGTTGCTCCCGTAGAAAGCTCTGCCCCAGTCGGTAAGATTCAAGCAGTCTCACACAGGGGGGTGGGGGTGGGGGATGACCTGGCATTCTGGAAAAGCGTAAGATAGTATTGCTGATATAACATCACAGAAGCCACACTTTAGGCGGTTAAGAACATGGTGGACACCTGTGGCAGCCATCACCCATGTCTCAGTAATAAACCACAGCTCCAGACACATCGTGGAGTAACAGGCAGCAGGAAATTCCTTCTAGTGTAGACCATGGCTCTGGACAGATTTTAGTTTTAAAGGCAGAGGAAACTTTGCTTCAGATAACAGGAATATGAGCTTGTAGTGAGAGGGCTCAGACCTGCAGCTGGATCAGCCTCTGGGTGTTCTGGAGGCCTGCTGAGGTTGGGCTGCCATTCTGAAGCAGGGCAGGGATGGATATGTTTCCATGCCATCGCCACCCCTGCTAGGGACCTGCCCCTTTGATAGACAGAACCAAGAGCTCCGTAAATGACCATGTGGCCAAAATATTCTCACTTATATTCTGTCCCTAAAAACATCTCAGCATTCAATGGCATCTGTCCAGGATCCCAACTATAGTAGCACAAATGTCTCTCAAAATCTGAATCAGGCCAGGCATCCTGATTTTATAATCCTGCCAACTATGTCTCGATCCATGATGTAACACTAGACTATAGCCAGCACTCTGAATAACTTCCAACTGGGCTGGGAATGAAAACAGAGGCCAAGGGTATATACAGGTCCGTGGAGTCCACATCTCTCTCCAGTGGATTGTTTTCACCCATAAGCTAGTCCATGTTGCTCCCAAAACTTCAACCTTCAATAATTGTGACATTTAGAGGTAGAAAAGGGCAAAAGGAAAGGGGAGGCGTCACAGTAAATAGATTCTGAAGGGTTCTATTTACTGGGTTTTGCTATCTTTCACAACTTTGACCCAAACAATAGCAATGACTTCATGAAGCTGAGACACAACAAAGACCCATTCAATTTGTGTACAATAACCAGGGCCTTCCAAACACAGCCCCCAAAACAGCCACAGCAAGCTTCCTCCACACCAGATGGCACAGAACATGCACACCACTTCCCTTTCCTTCACCTCCCAAGGCCTCTGGGCTGCGGCAGTCACTCCCAGAATGCAGCTGGCTCTACTCCTGGACTATCAGGAGTGACAGTTCTTCACTCTCATTAAAAAAAAAAATCAGTTGAAAACTCCATGTCACTGAATAGCCACTGCTCCACAAGTTCTCTTGTGAATATCCAGGAAAGAGGTACCAGAGAAGCAAGCTGGCTGGGCACATGGGATCTGGCACAGGAGCTAGGAACAGCTGCTCAGAGGCAGGTGGGTGTTCAGGACTCTCCTTAGGTGACTCTCCTAGAAACTTAGGAAATTAGTGACATGTATGTGACAGATTAAGATTGGAGATCCTCATGGAGCTGGAGAGATGGCTCAATGGTTAAGAGCACTGACTGCTCTTTCAGAGGTCCTGAGTTCAATTTCCAGCAACCACATGGCGGATCACAACCACCTATAATGAGATCTGGTGTCCTCTTCTTGCCTGCAGGGATACAAGCAGGCAGAACACTGTATACATAATAAATCTTTAAAAAAAAAGGATTGGAGCCGGGCGGTGGTGGCGCACGCCTTTAATCCTAGCACTCGGGAGGCAGAGCCAGGCGGATCTCTGTGAGTTCGAGGCCAGCCTGGGCTACAGAGTGAGTTCCAGGAAAGGCGCAAAGCTACACAGAGAAACCCTGTCTCGAAAAACCAAAAAAAAAAAAAAAAGGATTGGAGATCTCCCTCCCTCCCTCCCTCCCTCCCTCCCTCTCTCTTATTTAATCCCCAAAGACCTCCTCTGCACTGGATCTGGAAAGGAAGGGGAGCAGACAGAATGAGATGAAGACTCTAGCCCCTGGGGAGCATACTCCTGGGGTACACAATTTCCTGGAAGCCAGGGAGTAGCCCAGGTCAGCATGGGTTAGAGGTGGTAGCAATGCGCACTCCCAGGACCATGCTGCTGGCATACATATAGCCAAGGCCAAGACCCAGGAAAGGAAGTGTCGGTCTACATGAGAGCCTTGCAGCTGTACCAACCAAACATAGCTCAGCTTTGTAAACAAGTCCCTGGACAGTGTGCACCAGCTCCCTTGTCCTTTGTTACAGCTTGGTGGCTCATTTTGTGTACACAGAAGTGGTGAGTAGCTGCACATTAGTCACAGGCGCTGGTTAAGCCAGCCTTGCACGTACAAGTGGTAACCTAACTGTCACAGGGACCAGCCCATTCACTGCAAGAGCCCTTTCACTGTATCTCTAGTTTCCTATCCCAGAGCCAAACTGGCTGATACAACTAAGCTGGTGTCAGATGCTGTCCTAGACCTGAGCAGCTGATTAAACTGTTTAATATTTAGACTTTACTAGGAGGCAGCACTTTGGGCTTGAGTGAAGACAAATGGGAAGGTTAGGCGGCAAGCAAGGCTGATTGATCCATTTATCAAGCACAGAGCTCTCTTGTGCTCCCACAAAACACGAGCCCAGATTGATGAAACACATACCCAGGCTTCACATTCAGATCTAACTGGTAGACCTAGAGGGAAAAACAAAAACGCCCACCCATAGCTTTTCACTAAGACTCAAGAAGGCTCAAGTTAACACTTCTTACAACCAACATTTTACTTTAGAATATCAAAAACAAGTGTTACAACTCATTTGGGATTCCCAGTAGGGAAAGCATGAAGTCAGCTCAAATTAAATCTTTAGGGGCTGGAGAAATACAGTGCAGTCAGTTAAAAGTTTGCAATGCAACCCAAGGACCTGCATTCAAAAGCTGGGCATGGTGGTGAGCACTTGTAATCTCAAAACTAGGGAAGCAGAGAAAGGTAGAGCCTAAGGGCTCAATGAGCAGTCGGTCTAGGCTCATCCGAGTTCCTCCAGGCCAAGTGAGACAGATGTGTACACACATCTTCACATGACTTGCCAAGCATACTGCCCTAACCTTATCCATGCCAAGTACTTAAAAGCATTGCCCGCACTAGGGCACAGCAGAGCACCTGTCCAGCTCTTCTCCAAGGTTCAAATCGGCAGGGTAGGAGAAAAACAGGCCTGGGAACCAATTCTGAACAGAAGAAGCAAAGGAAAAAGGGAAGAATATCTGGCTCCACCGGTTAAGAATTATGGAGCTATCCAGTGAAGCAGTGACCTCAGCAACTAAGAACTGAGCAAAGAGCGAGAGAATTCAGGGGTTTACACACGTTGGTAAGGGTTCTTCCCAAGACTGAATTACCAGCCATGCCAAATGGGCATTTTCTGTTTATAGTGGTATGGGGAGAAGTAAGCTCCCATTACTAAAACGTGGCTATAGGAGAACTTAGGGGCCAAGAGAGATGGAAGGCTACTACAAGCCAATGCGCTGGAGCGGCACCGTTCTCAAGCATGTGCAATAGGCTTCTAGGCCATCCTGCTCCCGTTACAATGCATGGAAATGACATCACGAGCCATGCAGGGAACAAGCTGCTACCAAGCCATGATTCCATTCACGTTATCAGCAATACACAAAGCTCAAAAGCCTAATGACAAGGATGCAAGATTCTAAGCTTCTAAATGTAAAATTAGCTGCTAATCAAGAGGAAATGCTTTGAGGACTCTAATACACATTTTTGAGAGGTGCCTAAGTTTAGGTTGAGAGCACTCTTTCATTACCTTAAACTCAAACTCGCAACATCTGCCAGTTAAGTCGAGTGAGGCTGGACCAGCACCATCAGGGGCCTCCCAGGGCCCATTTGGAAGTGACTGTGTTCTGAAAACTTGTATTTGGTGCTCTGGTCTTCAGTTTCCCATGAATCTGAGGGCACGAGTGCATGTGCACACATACACACACACACACACTCTACATGGGGCAACTTAACATCCAGCCACAAAGACATGTTTTGAAATGGAATCTAGATCAATCAAAACTTCAGGATGACGCTTTCAGCCACAATTCAGTGGACATTAAGAAGACTGTCCTATAGATGATAGAAACATAAGCAGCCCAAATCCTCTTCTTCGTTAAAGATCACATGGCTTATAGAAATACCAGACTGAATTTTCTTCACTGTGATGCAAAGACTCAAAACACACATGTAGCCAAGTCGCACTTGAATACAGGACTCCAAATATTCCTGCAGCATACATTCCAGGCCATTTCCTAATATGCAAAACAGGTTTTTAAAAACAGCGTTTGGGCACTGTTCCCATTTCCTGCAATGCTAACAGCGTCTGACCCCTGTGTGGCAGTTCCAATTTCAGTTTGTCACTGGAGCATGTTCCTAGTTATCTGTGTGAGTCATTTGTGTTTGGGCCTTTTCTGTAGAATAAATAAATGTTGAATTTTGAGTATTTTACGTCTTAGAAGCATAACATTCTTCCAGTAAAAGGGGGCTATCCTTGAACAAGTACCTGACAGCGGCTGAAGAACTCTGCTGTCAGACCCAATGTCTCAGACACCAAAACACAAGGGGGAATCCCAGCGGTAACAAGTCTGCACCACCCCAATGGTCTTCAGGGTCCTAGAAGTTCCTCACAGAATCCAGAAAAGCTGCTCATAAAGGAAGAGATGGATCCCTCCAGGTTCAAGCAAACTAGCTCAGCTTTTATCAAGATTTGCAAGCTCAGCTTTCACCTCACTGACACCACTGCAGAACAAAAGCAGACACCGCCGTATCAGTCACCTCCTCACACTCAGCAGCACCCTGGCAATTTTCAAACATACAAATTAACGGTATGAATAAGGTTTGGCTACTAAATGTATCTTTAACAAAAGTCAAGACCACCATATAATTTTTGCTTTTATTAATCTAGTACAGAACATTATCAGTACCGCAGCTCCATCCCAGAGGTGAATCCAGAGCAGAGACCAGCAGTCAAGTATTCCCAAAGCCAACTCAGCTTTGAGTAACCTTGTCCTAGTTGCCAATTAAGTTTAAGGTTTTCACTGCCACAACCAGAAACTGACAGCAGAGATCAGCGTCCAAGGAAAGAGCATCTGTGGTTTCAATAAAGTCTCCAAATTGGTCACAGGAATGGTAGCCGGCTGTCAGTTGGCTGACCCCTGCTGGGTCTGAAGGGAAATCTGTTGTTGGGGCCACCTCTTCCTGGCAAAAGGGGGTTAGGTCCTGGAAGTGGACCAATAGGATCAAACCGTGGTCTGAGTGGCGGAAACGGGCTAGGTATCTCCCCTGGCCTTGGGATGAGTGAGTTGGCTGGGTCCCCAACACTGGGCAGTATCGGCCTCGTATCATATTCACCACCAATGATTCCTGGAGGAAGCAGCGAGGCGGAAGGAAAGGGCATGGGGTAGGGGTAGACAGGAATGGGACAAAATGGGATAGAGTGGGTTGATGATGGCAGGAACATCAGATGCCGCATTCTCTGAGCCTCTTTTCTCTGTATATGCCTCTTTCTATACAGCTGTAGAAAAAAAGGGGGGACAAGATATGGTGAGTGGTTTAGAGGTGACTCCCAAGTTCTAAGCTGCCTTACTTACGGCGTAAGTTCATCTGCACTTTTCTTTCCCATAGTATCTGCAGACAAAGCAAACACAGTCTACCCCATGAAGAGCCTCGGCTCCAAAGGCAGTGCCAAGTGAGCTCTGCTCTCCAAGCACTTTAAGCACACTGCCACAGAGTGAGCAAGTCCAAAGGAGGGATAACCCAGTGGCAGATATTTTTAAGAATGCAATCTAGCACTCCTCAGCTGACATGCAAGTTTAGGTGAGCCTTTCCTGCACACAATTAAAGTATTTGTTGAAAAGGTCAAGCTATAAATAACATTCAGGTACTACAGGCAATTTCATGTTTTCATCCCTCATAGATCTCCATTTCAAACACAAACAAGTGGCTAGTTTAAAGGACAGGCACACACTCAAGACTGTGGACTCTGCAAGCATCCTAGGACTTACAGTCAATTATTTTTCTTTACTCCTTCATCCCAAATAGTTTTTCTCAGGCCTATCAGTGGTTTTTACAGTCAAAATCTGCCAATAAAGTCATGTATCTTATTCTTTTCACAATGTGCTATGCTATCTAACAACTTTAGATTACCCAAACACAATGACAGAATTTGTTTTGTTTTTGTTTTTCAAGACAGAATTTCTCTATGTAGTTTTGGTACCTGACCTGGATCTCACTCTGAAGACCAGGCTGGCCTCGAACTCACTAAAGATCTGCCTGCCTCTGCCTCCTGAGTGCTGGGATTAAAGGCATATGCTACCACCACCCAGCCAGAATTACTTTTGTGAAAAAAAAAATAATAAGCCTGTTTCATATTTCAATGAAAAACTATTAAGACTTTTTTTTGTAGTTAGAAGAAAACAAGAACTAAAATTGAAGACATTTTCATTAGCAATATTTAACAATAAATTTAAATTGATTTTATCCCATCACACTAACAGTGAAAAGATACCTTTCACTATTAACTCACAGTTATTTGAGTCATAAACATTAGTCTTCATATTTAAAAATACCTACTTCTTTCCAATCTGTGTCTGGACCTCTGGCAGTACCATCTGCAAGGTAAAACAAAGCATACAGAATTAGAATCCACTTCATGCTCCAGGCTGACGGTGAGCCTGGACCTCGCCATCGATGAAGCAGCACGTGAGGCACACGCGCACATGCGCTGCACATCACTACCTTCTTGAGTCAGTCAGCGGCCCTCCCTCATGACTCAAGCAGCGATGCCTCAGGACACTGCAGGACAGCTACTCATCCGTCCCAGGATGTGTCCTCTGGGGCAGGCTCCTGCAGGTGTGCCAGATGCCTCTACGTCATGTCTGCGCTCAGTGGTCTAGCCTGACAGCTCCTCTGAAGTGTGGGTTACAACCCACACTCATTACTGCGATCAGACTAACCGGCACCTTTCTGTAGTGGTCACCTACCTCCTTCCCCGAAATGGCTTCACTACCCAGAGTGTGACAGTAACACACAGAACTATTTGAAATGTACTTAAGGGGCTGGAGAGATGGCTCAGTGGTTAAGAGCACTCACTGCTCTTCCAGAGGTCCTGAGTTCAATTCCCAGAACCCACATGGCAGCTCACAACTGTCTGATATCCTCTTCTGGTATGCAGATATACATGCAGACAAAGTGTTCCTATACATAAAATACATAAATAAATCTTTTTAAAAAAGTATTTAAAATACATGAAATGAGGGAAAAATTCAATCAACTCCAAGTCTAATGAGGAGTTCAGGAAAAAGCTAGCCGTGTCTTCTCTATAAGTTACTAATTAGCTTGAAAGTTTATGAAAGCCCTAGCCCAGGAGTTCTCAACCTGTGGGCCATGACCCCTTTAGGGGCTGAATGATCCTTTCACAGGGGTTGCCTAAGACCACTGGACAGCACAGATATTGACAGGATGATCTGTAACAGTAGCAAATTTACAGTGATGAAGTAGCAATGAAAATAACTTCATGGCTGGGGGTCACACAGCATGAGGCACTGTGTTAAAGGGTCGCAGCGTTAGGAAGGGTGAGAACCGCTGCTCTAGCTCCATACGATCTTTACACACACTCAGCTCACCAAGGAGCTGTGACCCACACTCAGAAAGGAATCCCAGACGGATGGCAGTTAACCGTGCCGGGGAAGGGCATCTGCTCCTCTCAGGACTTCACACCACAGCCAGCTTTTTCTTGTCACTTCTTCTATGTATGTTATCGGAGACTAATGGGGTCAACAGTGGACAGTGGCCCCTAGGATAAATTTTGATAGCCTAAGGCCATGTCTGTCATTTATGATTTCTGGAATAATGGGCCCAAGTACACCTTGAGCTTGTTTGCTCAAGTTCCTTTAAGTTTATTAGGTTGACCTAGGCCTATAAGAGATGAAGGAATAATAGCTCTTAAGTACTTGGCCAATCTTTTCCTGAAATATAAGAAACATCCGTGCTTATGTCTAGCAAGCCAATTATTTTTTCCCCTGTATTTTAAGTGTCTAGTTGGTTTGGAATATTTAATTTCCTGAACCCAGAAGGTCATATAACTGGAATCCACACCAGCAGCTCCCTTAGGCGCTGCCCTGTATGAATCTGAATTGTTTTTGTAGAGGGTTGTACAATAATCTTAATTTCTTTAGTAAAGTCAGGATCAACCTTTACTGGGACAATTTTCATACCTTGTACAGCAGAGGAGCTACAACCTATATTTAGTCCCAGTGTCCCTTCTGCGGAGGTCCACAGACTCTTGTATTAAGGTATATAAGTCCATTCCTAAAGCTTATATATCTCAGACCTCAATAAAAACTTTATCCACAGATCTAACTTAGGCATACATCCTCAGTATCTCTAGGTTATTACTGAGATTCATGTATCATTAATAACATATCTAGATGTTTATGTGTTACATTGATCTATCCTAATAACTGGCAATTCATATATCATAAGTTATTTTTTAACTTTCCTAAACATTCTCTATATCTAAACCTTTATATCCCTATAAAAACTTTACATCCAAAAGCATCTATGTATTAAATTTGTCAGGAGAAATAAGTGATTGATTATTGAGAATAGCCAATGTAAAGTGAATTTCTTTTAATAAAGGAACAGTAAAAGGTCATTTTGAAATCTGTTAGGTGAGCTATCTTTTACTTGAAATTGGATAGTAAGGCAAATTATCTTTAAACCTGGTAAATGGAAATATAATCTAAATTATCTCAAAGCATAGTTTGGACAAAACCCTGGCAATAAGGGATATGGCAGTTTTGTCCAAAGCTTAAACCTTTTAAATGTTAGGGGGCTAAGTAATGAATTGATTATATGAAATTTAGCATACTTAGCAGGTATATAAATATGATTTTGTATACATTAGAGAATCTGATCATAGAATGATCAAGCTTTAATTTGTATCCTAATAATTATCTCTAATAGCTATAGTTTAAGTATAACTTATCCTTAACAGTTAACAGTTTAAGTTGGCCAATCAATCAATAAGTTTTATTTCTTAATTATCTTTAATTAAAGTAAACTTATTCTTAATAATTTATAAGTTAGTTGCTCTTATAAGCTTAGAACTTAGGTTTTATGCCTGTCAGTTTAGCCTTAAAAATATTAAGTTTGGCCGGGCGGTGGTGGCGCACGCCTTTAATCCCAGCACTCGGGAGGCAGAGCCAGGCGGATCTCTGTGAGTTCGAGGCCAGCCTGAACTACCAAGTGAGTCCCAGGAAAGGCGCAAAGCTACACAGAGAAACCCTGTCTCGAAAAACCAAAAAAAAAAAAAAAAAAAAAAAATATTAAGTTTGTACTGAAGTTATTTTAATATATAAATCCTTTAAGGTGTATCATGAAATGAGATAAGAACAGTAAAAGGCCCAAACTAAAACAGAGGAGGAGGTTTTTTTTTTTCAAGCCAG